ATTTTTCATCATAATATTAAAAACAAATATTTTTACTGTGTTATTAAGAGTGACGATTTCACGAACATTTCATAAACAATCTACTCCCTCCCCTAATTAAAAAATTAATCATCACTGACCTCGAAACCCAGAATTAAAAGAGCATTGTCAATTGAAATTGTTTTGCAACTCATAAAATCGAAAATTGTTACTGAAATGTTTTGAAAACACCAATCGAATATTTCGCAATGGGAAAAAAAATCCAAACTCATCAGAAATCCAATATAATTCGAGCAACTCGGTTACGAAAATCCCTCGCAGGTGTCACCGAAATATCTAGATTTGTATTCCACGATTTTTCGCGGAGGGGGTGAGAATTTCAGGGGTGGCGGTGTGGGTGAAAAAATAGGAGGGACGATATAGAGGTGCGACATGAGGGGAAAATAAGAAACGATTCGTGCAACGGCTCGGAAATGGTGGGGCCCAGTACTGGGCTGACACTGGGATACATACATAGGTATGTACGTATGTACGTGACGAGAATTTTGGAAGTATTTAAAGCCGGTACAGCGGTAGCTATAAACGTTGAATTTACAGTGGTATGGAGGCATCGTACACCACCCCTAAACCTCCATTTCACCCTGAAGCTTAATTACCGACGTTCAAATTTCCTCTCATTTTACTACAAGAGGGTTGCCCATCCACATTTATCCTTCACACCGTACCAAATACCTTACTTTAAACATTGTTGTTGTTTCAAACTCAATTCACGCTTCACCGTCAACATTTTGACACCGGTGTCCCCCTCACTTTGCTTTGAGCAATCTTCAACGAATTGAATGAGCTTGCATTGCATGAAATACCACCAAAATTTTACGTTTCAAGTGGAAGATATAACCTGGAGCGTCAATAATTCCAGATTAAACTCCTCCAACGGTGATAAAACATTCTCATTTCGTTACGAATTAACGACGCACGCTGTGAAAATATATATCAGCCTTGACATATCTCCATTAAAGAAAAGAGTAGTAAAAGACAGAAGTGGAATTCCTCCCGTTTTTTCTTCGTTATTTCTTACTTCATCGCTTGCTGAATTCATTGTCAATTTTCGTTTACTCATCAAAAATTCTCTGGTTTATACATGTCGACGTCAGCTGTAAATTGCAACTGCAATGTCACATGGTCATTTATCGGGCTGACGGAATGGAGTGAAAGTGCTGATGGTAGTGGAGATTTGCTTGGAAAAGTTTTCTGATTGCTTGGCGACTAATAAAATTTGCTTTGAATTCTTTGGCCTGCGGTACCTGTTGCCCAAACCCATTTACAAATCAAAGAGACCCTCATTCATGGGAATTCTTCGGGGACTTCCACTCCGATGTTGTCCCAACATCCACCGAAGAACTCAACTTTTCCTCATAAACTTGCTGTTTGGCCTTTTCACGAAAAACCACATTCAACTTCATCTTGTGTGTATCCTCTACTCTCCCTTTGGCTAAAGTTTCCAGTTGTGGATAAAGGTATATCACGGTTTCGCTTGTAACTGAGACATTTTCATCTCCTTCCGCTTGTCTGTGTTGTGGTGGCACAACTAAAGTGCCTTGTACATAAATTTCTGTGATTTTCACTTGCGAAAAACAATCATCAAAGGATCGACGCGCATTCTGCACTCGCGAAAATACAATTCGACTGAATAAACACGTCTAATTAATTTATTCTCATCAAGCAAATCGCTTAGTCCATCGAATGAATTTATTTATTCACTCAATTGCAATTTTTTCGCTGACACCACTAGCGCCGAGGGCATCAACCGCGAATTCGTGTCAATCAATACAAATGACGAAATTCCAAATTGGAAAAAAATGGAGTCATTTTAAAAATAAAAATGAGATATTTTAAGCAGGAATTTGTAGCTTACCCTGGCACTCCGTCGTTATCTCTCATGATTCTCGTTTTCATCTTCTAATTAAACTCGCTATTCAGATTGGAATCAACCGGGAGTAGTTTCTTTATCACTTCCCCTCCCCGAAATAATCATCAAGAATACTTACAATGTGTTAAGCGAGCGTGTAATCTCTTATCAAGCGGGATGTGGGGTATGTGTACATTGACAAAAGGCCTTCGCATGTGGTGTATGTGAGATGGAAGTGTGAACCAATCGTTGTGCACGGATACGAGAAATTTGCGTGACACACGCGTGACACACGCGTAGGAAATATACCGCTATACAATCTGTCGTGGCGTGAGTTTAACGGTTGGCTGACTCCAGAATCTGTGACATCACTATGGATGAGAGAAATTCCGTTGTGATAACTAAAACACTCGTTGAATTTTACCTCCAACCAATGCATATACTTTTTTTTTCCTCTATTTTCTCCATTTTTCTTCATTCTCTCTAGTCTTTCTGTTCATCTAGAATTGGTGAAACCCGTTTTTTCCTCCGAATGAATTTTTTTCCGGCGGAGAAAAATCCACGAAAATAAAGTCATGGAATTGTTTGGTCTTATGAGAATGAGAAAAATAATTAAAATCAAGTGCACATCGGTGATTTTTTATTTTATTTCTTACAGTTTTCAATTTTATCCATGGATTCAATAATTTGGAAATTTTCAACATTTTCATGAGTTAAACAAATATTTATTTTCAATTACATTTCTATTTTCACAAAATTCAAATCATAAAAATCCTGAGGATTCACGATTATCTCCATTTCTCTCTAAACCCCTCCCCGAAAATCCCCCCCAAATAGCCACAAATTAAAAATTAAATTAACTCTCACCTAATTACCTTATCCGTCAACGTGGGATTCCCATCGATCTCCGGTCGTTTTTTCGTTGAAAAGTGTAATATTTATAGGTCTATCGGTAGGGGAAGCTCCCGGATGAGGCGAGTGGGCGGTGGGGTGGAGTGGGTGGAATGGGTGGAATGGGTGGAATGGGTGGAATGGGTAGAGTGGGTGGAGTGGGTGGGGGTGTAGAGGGGATAGGGATAAAACAGGAGGATAACCGAGAAAAAAAAAGTGAGAGAGAGAGAGAGTGAGAAAGAAAGAAAGAGAGAGAGAGAAAAAAAGGAAAATCCTTGATAGAGTGAAAGGGGTCAGAGTACCGTCAGAAAAGTGGGAAGCGAGTGTCAGAGACCTACATATTTTCAAGAGGCCAATGAGACGGCGCAATGTGGCGTGGCGGGACGTTTCTATACCTCACACTCAATCCTGGCTTCCAACATTGAGGATAGCGTATAGAGGGGGTAAGGAGTTATGTTCAAGCGCGCGCAGTATTACCACTCCTCTAGCACACGTTAAAACTATACAGTGAGAGTCCGTCACTACCGTCGAGACGTACATTGAAAGCGCCAGTTGCTCGTAGGCACTCGCCAACGTCACGTTGTTAACCAACTAATTCTATTTTTTTCATCACAAAAATTAAAAGAATATTTACGTTCGTCAACGGATTTATAAACTCAAGTTGATAACGAGTGGAGAGTAATTTTTCATTTTTTTTTTTTTAAAATGCATTCAAATTTTATTCGTGGTATGTGGGCTGTACTTGTTGTACTAGTTGTTCAAGTGTTTGCTAATGAGCTCAAGGTTGAGACTAAATATGTACCGGAAATATGCGATGTTAAAACTAAAAAAGGTGATCAGGTCACTATGCACTACACTGGAACACTCGTCGATGGGAAAAAATTCGACTCAAGGTCAGTTTAACGCGAGTTTTTTTCGTTTTTTTTTTTTCTTCTTTTTTGTAGGATTTTGTGAGGTTAGATTCAAAACTTTTACACCCGCATAGTTCCGAGATTATCATTAAATGTTATCTCGAACTGGTGAAATCTCTCTAAGGAATAGAAAAACACGTGTGGAATTCCCCGTAATTAACACAAAATTCGAGATAAACAAGGGGCGGGTAAAACTTTAATAGTGAACAATTATTCATTTCTGGGGGTGCACTTGGGGGGCGGTCTAGCCCCTGGTAAACGGATTATCCTCATCCTCCAGGTCGTACTTAGTTCCTCCCTCGTTTCGCCAAATGCCACCAATTATTTCCCTCCCCAAAAGACGAAAATTAAGAAAATTAAAAGTTCTTTTTTTTTTGTTGTGGGTACGTGGCAATTAGGTTTTCGTGCTTCAGTACTCAGGTGGCATTGTTCTATATAACCCGTTACAAGAACCGTTAATCGCTGGAAGTGACCTGGAGCCCATAAAATCCGCCTCGTTCATCATAAATATGATATTTCCATTTTTTTTTCTCTCTCTCTCTCTCTCTCTTTTCGCTCCGGTGTTTTTGGGGAGCCAAGAGATGTCGTAGATTTAGAGGGAATTTAAGAGGGTCTGGTTTTTATCTTTCAAGATGAATTCCTTCGTTTTCAGCGCCAGACATTTGTTATCGTGAAATAAATGATTAAAATTGGAGAAATATTTTTCCCCTGAGATTGCTGAGGAGGAACGGTAAATTGGTTGAGGGAATTATAGGGTTTCTGATGAATGGCGCAGGTTCGTTGGGTTTTATTTTTTTCTTTTAACGGTAACATTTTGTATTCAAATTTCAATCGGCCAGGGAATGCGGTTTTACTGTTTCATTTTACTCCCTTTGTATGTTGAATTTTCAATGGATTGCATTACTAGTCGATTGGGCAGACACTGGGTCAGGTGTGTTGTCGAAATTTCCACAGGAAAGAACGTGTCATCACAGCTGGTTTAATCCCACTGCTGTACAAATTTTCCCACTTGTTATTTTATTTTTGAGCTCTACGAGCGACAACTATTGTCTCGTCTTCAATGAAAATAGTTTGATAAAGATTCACACTGTAAGATTAAATAGAATGGGTGAATGGTGCGTCAGGGAGTTGTTGAAAGTAAACGATTTGAGAGTGCGAGGCGAGAGTGTGGAAAATTATTATGAATTAATCCACCGGGGAGATCTTTCATACGACGCTTTCAACCCCTTTATAAAGGATGATTGATTTCATGACTCGGGGACGCAAGACTTTACTCAGTTAATTTCACCAGTCTTTAGATTAACATGACAATTCTGGAGATGGAGATTTTTCGTACATCCCGGGGCTATTTCAGTGTTTCAAATAGTCAGGGCGAGAGTTCTGAGTTAAATCTCCGGGATATAATGAAAATCAAGGTAATGGGGCGAGGGATATATTTGGAAAACTGTAGAATCGAGAGGAAATGATTCTATCTAAAATTGAGAAAGCCACACTGGAATTTTTTCATCCTTGTTATTACTCTTCGAACACAGAGATTAATTTTTTATATGAATAACTATTTTCGCATTGATTCCTATAGTGTTAGCCTTGAAGATGATGTTAGAACTGTCAAATGGATCGGTAAAGAAAAATGGAAAAGAAAATTCACACCGTGCCTCCCCCAAAATTCATGATCTATCTCTTTTTTATTCCTTTTGACAGAAGAAAATGACTTTTCTCCAGAACCTAATTTTCACCTCAACCAACAATCGATTCCCCTCGCACTCCCTCCACATCACACCCCAATAATCCAAAATTACCAACAAAAAATTCCATCCCCAAAGACAAAAGCCCCAATCACCTCTTATCACCGATCTCCAAAAACAGGCAAATTCCATGAGGCAAAGAAAAAAAACAAAAAAAAAAGTACCGACAAGATTTTCTAATTGAACTTGGAAATTGATCTGATAAAAGCATTTCCCTCTCGACCGAAACGAGAGGAGAGGAGAGGAGAAAAAAAAATGTGTAAAAAGAGGGAAAAAAAACGATCTTTTAACCTGGGGCTCTTGAGGAGCGTGTCGGAGAGGTCGTCTATTCTGGAGTCTCGAATTACGGGTAGAACGATAACGTCTGGGGGGGGGGATGGGGGAGGATAGGTCCAGGCCCTGGCGATGCTGGAAGGGGGGAATCTGTAGTGAAGATGAGAACCGGTAGAGAGGGATGTGGGGGTGAGTGGAAAAGGGAGGAAAGGGGTGGAAAGGGGTGGAAAGGGGTGGAGAGGGGAGGAAAGGGGGAGGAAAGGGACTTCGATAGCGTTATCGCTGAGCAAGCTGTAGGTCCAGGCTTGGGCCTCGGTCGTGTCTATGGTTAGCCGTTATCTCAGTTACCGACGAGGTGAACCTCTTTCCCTCCCAACCCTCACCACCTTTTCATGTCCCCTTTGGTCTGTTGCATCAGTAGCATCTACACAAAGCACAAGCAACACCAAGTGCATGTGCGCTGTTATCCCAATGCGACAACATGAGGCAAACTATTCCCATCCAACTGCGTTTATTCCTCTTCATGGAGTACGTTAATTGAAATTCCCGGAATGTGTTGACAGATTCAACTTGACAATTAAAAAGGTCGGACGGGCAATTGATATTTGGATTTTTTGGTTAGACGTCGAATAGGTTTAGGATTTTTCAATGAAATTGTTCAGATAATTTTTATAATGCTATTCCACTGGGATTTCAAGATTCTTTATTCTTCATGAGCGAATTTCATTCTTAGAAATTGACAGCCATTTTTCTTTGGGATCAAATAGGCTTCTAGGTTAAATACATTACCTTTCAAACATGACGTGGAAGTATTAAATAATCTCCGCTAACAAATGCTCAATTTTTCGGTGTGTTAATGCCCAACGAGCGGTCGATATCAATTTCCATATCGGAATTATCAGCCAAATGAAGTGAACGAATCTTTCTGCTAAACGTCACTCGCTTGAATATTTCCTCAAATTGGGGTTGAAAATGGAATTACTTCAAAAATGACCTGAATAGATTCATCAATTACCCGTAACATTTCGATGGAACAATCAGCGGGCAAAATGGTAAAATGGAAATAGATCGATTAACGATATGAAATTGAATATGTGATTTTATTTTTTCATTTATTCCACGCTGGTGAAATTACCAGTGGAGACTAATTACCGTTGGATGATACAAATGAGGTCGATGGGCCGAAGGGCCAATCGGAGTTCACCGTTCAAATGCGCTGATGATACGGTTCCATTACAGAATCATTCACCTGTATCCGATCTGCCGTTAATTCTGACCACTCTGGGACCACTCAAATACCCAAACCTGTCCGACGTTTGGCCATTCAATGGACATTGAGTAAACCCATAAATAATGTTCTATCGTCATTGAATAATCGATAATACGCGTAATTACATCTGAAATAACAGTAATTTCCATGGCCGGAAAATTAATTGCTCCAAAAAAATGCCAATTTTTCAATCAAGCAAGTCAATTCAAAGCCCCCCCGTCTTGAAAGTCTCCACAGAATTTAATCCAACGTGATTGGTTCAATCAGAATTATCCGAGACCTTAGACTGAGGACATTGAACGATTCAATTAAGGCAAAGAGATGATTAAGACTCCGGGATATGAGGTTTCGAGTGAGAGAGCAATGGGAGAATTAGCCCCTGTCTACTCTATTTTTTTTTCTTTTTTTTACCATATTTTTTTTTTTTCGACTACAATGTTGCACTTGATTTAATTAGAGGGGTTCTCTCACGCTTCCCTAGGTAAACGGAAATCGCAATGGCCTATTCTTCCACCACTTACCTCGTTAAGTCTGACCGAAATGGAACAAAAGAATTATTTCCGAGACAAATTACCAAGAACTCTGGTTTCATTCTCTAATTAGGATTTTTTAAATCGTTGAGACGACAAGGGGGAAAGGGTAGAGTAATGTCTCTGGGTAATAGTGGAGAGTTATATTTTATCGTTGGTAATTTGGAATTGTGATGAGGAAATATTTTGATAAACGGTTGAGGTTTGAGGACAAGATTTAGCAGGATCAGTGGAATTTCGTGAGAAATGTTTCATCAAATGAAAGATGTTACCCACGTTATACCGCTGAACAATTTCCACGGGAACTAGCCCACTCTGTCGACGTACCAACTGGAATACCTCTGATGAAACTCTCTAGCACCAGTTGTACTGGAGTTTGTTCTCAACAGCCATCATTCTATGTAAGCCCAACGGATATAAACTGTTGACGTGGACGAATCGATTATGCGTTACATGGCGATGGTACCGAACGATGGGTTTCATACCAAAACTGGATTAGCGTGGGGACATTATCGATTACGGGGAGATATTGGAATCTTCGGACATTACACTTTCATTAAATGACAAACTGACAGATAATTTCTGTGTGAATTGAATGAATTCTTCACAAGTCATTCGATCTCTCAAATTTTCAAGTAATTTTCACTTGTCGATCGATTGAAACTTTAATTGGATTTGATATTCAATTTTGAAATAATTTTCTAACTGATTTTTTTTTTCAATCAAATTTTGCACTTTTGGAATTATTAATTAGTCTCAAAACTGTTGATTTTGGGAGAAAATATCAAGAGAGCTTTTTTACGGGAAATTTAAAGAGCCCCAAAAAAGTCCTTTACTACTTTCTCCTAAAACCGATAGTTCCCGAAATCAATCGGTAATTACGAGAAATCGTTGATTACACT